GATATTGCTTAAAATTTCATTTATTTCTATTTTTTCTAATAAGTCATCTAATCTACATCATAAAAAGTAAACTTTTATATTGGATAATAGCTGCTTTTAGAATCTCCATGGTACATTTATAGAAATATGCCACAATAACATGTATCTAAGCATATATAATATTATATACACATTGGGAAAAAATTTAAGTAACTGCTAATCCAATATCTGGTACATCATCATACTTTTCATACCAGTGTTTTACAGAATTTTTAAAGAAATCCCTAATGACCATAACAAGTGTCATTCATAGCTATAGAAACTTCCAAAAGTAAGATTATCTATTAGGTAAGATTATCTATTCTGTGTATAAATGGTGCCCTCAGCTTCTGTATGTCAGCTGTAGTCTTTGGTTGTAGATACAACCTTAGTAGAAATCGAGAAAATGATGCCTCCAATTAAGGTTTGCCTTATTGTTTTTTAAATCAAAGACTTCTTGTCATCACATATCTCAATATTTTTAATTTTTGTAACTCTCAGGTCTCTATTCATTTACTATCTGTATTACCTTTTCCTTTCCTAATGTCAGTCAATTATTCTTTAAAACAGCCGTTTCAAAACGGATCACTTTCTACATCAACGTGTTGCAGTACAGAAGGGCACAGGTTCCTGCCAATATGGCAATAAAAGAAAAGGGGAAAAAGGAGCAAGAAAACACACAAAAACACACACACACAAAGTCACAAACACACCAGACAATATCAAAGGTAGTCACAAGAAAAAATTCAGTTGTGCCACTTCCTCCCTCCCCAATATTAAAACATTTCATATTTAACTGCTCCCAACTAAATACCCCATGGAATAAAATGATCCTTAGGGCAGATTTTTATCACATGGAGAGAGTGATGAATTGACAGTCGGCTTCTAAATCAAAAGGGGAGAGAAGGCAATGTGTATATGCTGACCTATGGCAAAAGTAAGACTCGATTATGCCAGCCATACAGGCATCCTCATGAAAATGTGCTTAAGGTTTCCCAAATGAAATCCAGACTAGCCTGACAAATCCCTACTCTGAAAGCCATAGCCCGCACAGTCTGCAGTTGCTGCTCACAATGTTACCACCTCATCAGTCTTGTCAGAAAGACAGTACTTCATTGAACATAGGCTTATGAGCATTACACTTGAGCACAGAGATAAGCAATGCCTTTACATCCATTTCCTTCAGGAAGCCATGGTGTTAAATAGCTGGCTCATATTTATAAAAAATTCAGGAGGGTAATTTCAAATGGCACTCTTGCATGAAAGAAATTAAAAGCGGCTGGTGTGAAATAAAGCATTTAATAGCATTTAAGGCTAATTTTTACGCTGATGTCTCTGTGCATGCTGTTCCCCTCCCTAGGAATGCCTTTTCTTCTCTTTGCCTGTTCTTCCAAGGCCATTTTAAAGCTCATGTCCTTTGTGAAGTATTCCCCACATGTTTTTAGCCATATTGATTTCTCTCATCCTTGAACTTGAACTTATCATGCACAAGGTGCATTTTACTATTCACTTTTTTTCTAGTTATTCCACTCTCTAATTAAATTATCACTTTCTATGAAAAGAAAGAATTACCTTTATAGATTTTTTTAATACATCTTTTCTTTAGTACTAGGGATATAGAGTTCAAAGAAAAACAAGAACTTCGTCCACATGGAGGTTACTTCCTATTTGACAGAGACAACTAACGTGATGAAATAAAATATATTCAGATAGTCACAGGTGACCTATAGAAATTAAAACATGGTGACATGATAGGAGTGATGAGGGGACAGTATTTTATATTGGGAGATTAAGAAAAGCCTCTCAAAGGAAGTGATATATGACCGGAGTCCTAACTTATGAGAAAGAACTAAGCAAGCATTGATATAGAAGAGTGTACCAGGCAGAAGGAAGAACAAGTTAGTAACTGGTGAACTGAATTTTGTTTCCTTCAAAAGGAAAAACATTTAGCTGTATCTCTGTAATTCGGTCCCCATTATACCTCTCGGCTCTTTAGCTCTGCGCCTAGCTCTTCAGTTTATCCTTTTAATTTCTCCAATTATGTGTGTTTATCTTTCCTCACCTCCAGGAGTGAGTAAATAATATAGGACTGAAGCTGACCTAATCTAACAAAAAATCGGGAGGAGAGAGATCAGTGAGGAAAATGGATGTTATTAAAAATTCATGAGAAAAAGAAAGAAACAGATCTGACAAACAAGAGAGGTTTTCTATTAATATGGAAGAGCAAAATGATTTCAAGAAAGCTGTGTCTGCCCCATTCAACACACTCTGTTTTCATGGTGGCTTGTTTAGCAGAAATACAGCAGAATGTTTGAATCATAGTGTTCCATGCAGACCAGAGATTAGCTCAAACATTCTTTTTCAGTAAGAAAAATACTAAATTTTAATAGTAAAGACATTACCTAATGAATTAGGACACAAAGTTTGCTTGAAATCGTTCTTTGGAGGAGGGAATGCCAAATTTCTATTCAATTAAGAGAAAAAACAAAGGTCTAACCTTTACAATCCAGAAGTGTTTGTTTATTCTTTCTTTGTTGTTTTTAATACCCATTTTCCCATGAATTCATGGAGAATAGGTCCAGCAGCTCAGGCTGTTTTCTAGTGGTTCCCACAAAGTCTGCTTCTCTGGGTAGAGCAGGCTGATGCTTCCACTGAACCCAGGCACCTTTCTCCTTGGCTTCCTTCCTTTCTGATCATTTTTCTTCATGAGTTTCAGGAAGCTCCGTGGCTGTTAGGGCATATATGCTCAATACACACATTAATTCTCTTGGCTAGAATCTTATCCTTAACTTGTTTGTTTACAACAATGCCAAGAGAAAGCTGGGTAGCATGGTAGATTCTACCAGTTTTGCAATGGTAATATTTGTGGGGCATTCCTTTTTGAACAGGATCCGTTCGTTCGATGTCTACAATATCACCTTCTTGTAGACTCACATGTATGTGGTCAAAGGAACAACTCCAAGTTTTTCTAAAAGGCCCAGAGAACAAATAGCAGATGCCTCTCCACTTTCCCTTTGTTTTAGCCATTTTGGCTAATTACTGGAATATGGCAGTTCCCCTCAAAAGGAGCTCAAATTTTTTAATACATGTACAAACAGCACCTATTGTTTCACTGTAATTTTGAGGGGAAGTACATGGAAATGTAGCCATGAGAGACGCCACAGGCCAAGCAAAGATGTCAAAATGAAAACCAATGCTCCTGTCTGCACAAGAAAATCATAAACGTGGCCATTTCCTATAGATCGAATATACCTTTTGACTGGTGGAGTTGAGGATTATCATTCACTGAATATTATGTAGTCTTTGTAGTGTCTCCAGGTGACTGACATTCTTACAACATCAAATAATCTGTCTTTATGTGCCACTATCCCTCCTCTTGACTAACTTATTCAAGAATACTATGTGCACGTATATTTTAATCCGCTCAGGAAAAAAAATGGATGTATGTTGTGCTAACAGAATAGGGATATGAGGTGTCAGGAGGAGCTCCCCCAACTATGAAAGTCATGGTTTGTTTATTTTTTGGTTTTTGTTTTCTTCTGATTGATGAAGGTAATTGCTTTGTGGAGCTTCAAATTTGGAAAGCCTTCGTAATTCATTAGTTTAAATTGCACACTTTAATATTTATGCAGGAAAGTGGTTGCAAGATTTATAGCACAATAAAATACCAATTGGTAACATACCGTGTTAGTCATAATTATTATTAAGAACTACTTAACTAGGTAGCTCACATTTCATGTCTTCACTGAACACTTGTAGTCCGTACTCTCTCCTCTCTCTTCCGTGTCTCTGAGGTGGGAGAAGTGTTTAATAATATTTTCACTTTATTTCCCAGATGCATGGGGACTATTTGTAATCTAAGTTTATGGAGATGATTTAAAGCTTCTCCCAAAGAACAAAAAAGAAAGTGAAGATGTCTTTAAGAATTTAAGTAAAGGTTCATGTTAAAAACAAGCCTGTTAAAAAAAGTTCAAAGTACATTTTTTTCTTCTGAGCTAACAACCATTGCCAATCTTTTTTTTTTCCTGCTTTTTTCTCCCCAAATCCCCCCAGTATATAATTGTATATTTTAGTTGTGGGTCCTTCTAGATGTGGGATGCCACCTCAGAGTGGCCTGACAAGCGGTGCCACGTCCACGCCCAGGATTCAAACCAGAGAAAAGCTGGGCCGCCGAAGTGGAGCGCACGAACTTAACCACTCAGCCACAGGGCTGGCCCCTAAAAGTACATTTTAAAGAGCTTTTCCCCATTATGTTTCTAGAAATCTTGATGTTTTTTTTTTAAGTAGTTCTAAGAACATGTCAAGTAGACAGAACTGGAGAGGTCGTTTTGGGTGAGGGAAGAGCAGAGATAAAAGCATAAAGGCATGAAATAACTGCAGTATTACAGTAACACAGACAGTGTAATAGCTTGGACTTTTCCCTGTAGGTAACAGAGAGGCATTGCAGATAAGCTTTGGAACAACAAGATCAGATTTTATTTTAGAAAAAAAATCTATTGATAAGGTAAAAAATGGATTCTAGAAGGATGAATCTGCACACAGGAAGATAAGATACAGGCAACAGTCTGGCAGGGAAATAAGGACTGTATGAAATTGGCTGATGGAGACGGTGCTAAGAGTGGAGAAATATTTGAGTGCTAGGATCAACAGAGAAAGAATACAGGGACACTCCCAGGATTCTGGTCATTTTTGTTAAACAACTATTTACTAATCACATTTTGTGTACCTAATGATATTTGCCCATAAGAACCAATTCATCAAGGAATCTTATGTCAGCAAGTGGATTTTTATATGGTAATATTTTTATATAAGAAAGTATTCTAATAGACCAATGTCTCATTTTTGTGAGACAAAAATGACACTATTATTTAGAAGGAGCTAAGTGAAATGGCTCAATAGGGGAAATGTGTTGTGTGTTGGGACCATCTTGCTCCCATCCTAAGGCTGCCAATGAATGGATACTCATTTAAGCGCCTCACCTAGGTCTGACCTCCTTGCTTGACAGTTAAAAGATGCCTCTCATCAAGCTAAACATCTTCTCTAGTGGTTTTCTAGTTCTCCTAAACGCTCCATCCAACCACTCTCAGTGTCTCTCTCTCCCTCATTAACAGCTGTCTATAGGGCCACTTATGATACGATAATTGTAATATATGTAAAAGCACAATAACATGCTACATAGATTCCAACCAGTGAATTAACTCATTTTTTAACTTTTTTTAACCCATTGGAAAAGTAATATGTGTCCCCCAATTTGTCTCTTTCTTCCTTGTTTCTTCCCTCCTTCCTTCTTTCCTTTCTTTCTTCTTTCTTTCCCAAAAAAGCTTCATTATCTAAAAAAAATAATTCTTTATCAGTTCTTTTGAGGAATGCTGCATCCTGTAGTCCCCAATGCATATCCATAATGCATATAAGCATATTAAAATCTACAATTTCCATAGGTGACAAAATTCATCTCATTTAGCCCAGTATTTTCCTAACATACATAACCTGAGAATTTCTAGTATACAATGTGTCAACACCTAACTAAAAATAATCCACGAAATGAACTTGGGGACTGTTATTAGAAAACTCTAAAGATAATTTGCTTGTGAAAAATACCTGAAAAAATAGCAGCCAGCTGCTGCTAAATGTTCTCTAAGGAGAGAAAAGTGTGTGTGTGTGTGTGCGTGTGTGTGTGAACAGACAGCTTTCTGTTACCTATTTTAATGGAGACACAAAAACAAATTGATTAATTTTAGTCTACAGTTAAGGTACTTCTTATGTACATTTTAATATAAGATGTCATCTGTTATATAGTAAAATTATTGTAATTATTATTTTACTTATTTTATTAACTGTTACATAATTACTACACTGCTTTTAGTTGAAAAAAAGGAAAAAATCTTATATTTGTGTGTATGTGTGTACGATCATATATATTTTTCTGCATGTATCTCTCTATATAAATGCACATTGAAGTTTAGCTATGAGAAAGTGGTAGAGATAAAAATACTGAAGCGCCTATGCACACATAAAGGCTGTGAAAGATTGGAAGAAAGATGAGGCTGCAGGTTGCTGCTTTGAGCCATGGAGGTGCTAGTTATATAAATAATGTTGAAAGGTTTCTCCTTTTATACAAATAAAAGGGTCAGTGGTGCTAGAGGTTCCTGGTACCAGAGCCATAATATAGCAAGGCTATGAGTGACGGATTGATATCAATGGACTTTGACCAATTAAAACTGTAGCAGTGTGGATGGACCAGAAGGATCAAAATGTTATTTCAAAGGGCATTGGTATAATCTTGGAATGTAAAGACAGGAGTCATGAAGATCAAAGCTGCTGCCTTCTGACCAGCCCATCTACTGCTGTCCTTTTGAGGCAGCCCGGATCTGAACAGAACTAGGCTCCTCTAGGTGACTTTTCTTATGCCAGAGGTTAGAGCAGTCACTCTGGCTTGGTTGGCTTAATTTTATCACTTTAGACTAAAGTTGGGCAAATGATTTAGGAAATTTTACTTTTTAAAAAACTAGAGTTTTAGGACAAAATTAATGTACATTAAAGGTATTTTATGTGCCAAATTGGCCATTTAACAGATTTATCACAGTGCAAAGTCACATTTATTCTCAATTTCACTATTTTTACTCTCTGACTGGTGAGAATGACAATTCTTACAGCCTAGCCTCATTTTACCTAGGAAAGCAGGAATGATTTAAGAGACAGAGGAAAGAACTTTATAGTAATCAATAATGTAATCCTTAGGGAGCATCTCCCTTGATATTACTATGACATTATATGATATGATAAATGTTTATTATCTCAATTTCTAAGGGTTAGAGATTCAAGAGTAGCTTGGCTGGGTGTTTAGACCTCAGTATTTCTCACAAAGCTGCAGTGTGGCAGTGAGGGCTGCTGTCATCTCAAGGGTCAACTGGGGAGGATCACTTCTGAGTCTACTCATATGGCCCTTAATCCTCAGAAGATCTATGTCCAAACCCACTCACATAGCTGTTGGCAGAGTTCAGAAGATCTGATTCCAAGCTCACTCATGTGGAATCCTCCAAAGGGCTACTTCAGGACATGAAAGCTGACTTCCTCCAAAACAAGCCATACAATAGAGAGTGAGGGAGAGCACCCAAGACAGAAGCCATAGACTTTTTATAACCTAATCTCAGAATGACTACTCATCACTTCTCCTTATACTCTATTCATCAGAAATTAGTCAATTTAAGTCCATCTCACAGTCAAAGGAATAGGATTACACAAAGGTATGAACACCACGGGGTAAGAACCATCGGGGGCCACCTTAGTGGCTTCCTACTACAAAGAAAAAGGAATTAACTGGGTCCTCAAAAAGTTAACTGACTCGATCATTAGAAGTGGGGTCTTCACAAGTTTGCATTTAAGTGTCTATTTCCAAGAATAATATACCGTAGTCCTTCCTTATCCACTGGGGATATGTTCCAAGACTTTCAGTGGATGTCTGAAACTGTGGGTAGTACCTGATCCTATATATGCTACGTATTTTCCTATATATACATACCCATGGTAAAGTTTAATTTATAAATTAGGTACAGTAAGAGATTAACAAAAACAATTAATAACAAAATAAAGCAATTAAAACAATATATTGCAATAAAAGTTACCATCAATCTCAGCAACCTCAGCATACAATTTTTTTTTACCTTATTAAGACAAGAACTCACCTTTTCACCTAAAGGAAGCATTTTACAGCTTCTCTTTGGCATATCTGAACCACCAGCATCACTGCTCTTGCACTATGGGACCATTATGAAATAAAATAAGGGTTACTTGAACACAAGCACTGTGATATCACAAGAGTCAATCTGATCATTGAGAGGGCTACTAAGTGACTAATGGATGGGACAGCATGGATACACTGGACAAAGGGGTGCTTCACGTCCTCTTCAGCACAAAGAGAGATGGCGTGAGATTTCATCTTGCTACTCAGAATAGCATGCAATTCAAGACTTATAAATTGTTTATTTTTGGAATTTTCTATTTAATATTTTTGGCCCACTCTTGACCTCGGGTAACTGAAACTGCAGGAAACAATATCACAGATAAGGGGGGACTACTGTATGGCTGGTTAACATTTTTGGATGGTGAGTTTTTGGCATGATTTTGAAAGTAATTGTTACAAGTAATATCTAAATAAATGAAGAGTATGGGAATGATTTGGTATAATGAACATAAGAAAGAATTCTTTGACTTTATTATGATGAAACTTATAAGGTTTGTAAGTTTTAACAGCAAGTGTAATTTTTAAATTCTTTGCTACATGGTTTAAGATAGCAGCAGCATCCTTATCCTGTAATTGTTGGAAGTTGAATGTATACTTTTTTTAACTTATTGACATCAATGGTCCAAAATCCCCCTATCAGGAGACAGACAGACATTTTGGAAATAGACACTGGAGCACTGCAACAGAGACAGAGTGCATCACCTTTATAGTGTTTTGAGAGAGCATCTGGTTCAATTTCAGGTATTCCACTGCAAGAATTTCCTATAATTACAGAACTAATGTCATAAAAATGCTCTTAGAAATCATTTGGTCTAGTGACCATTGAAATTATTTTTTAGTGCCTGCTCTGGGGAAAAGGTGGGCTATTTACAGTGAATAGGAAGCACAAAAATCCTCAAGTGGAAGCACAATTAGCGTATTTGTGCACATAGCAAAGATGCACAGAAACCAGCTGGAACAGAGAGAGCAACAGAAGATGGGAAAGAGATGAGATCAGAGAAGTAGTAGGTAGAGGGGGCAGCTCATGTAGGGCCTCGTGGAATGAGGTACCATATGGGCAGGTCACGTAGGGCCTAAGAGATATGGAATACCATTGAAGAGTCATGAGCACAGAAGTGACCTGATTTTACTTATCTTTTTAAAAGGATTATTCCAGCTGCTCTGCTGAGAATAGACTATAGGGTAATAAAGGTAGCAAAAGGGAATCAGTTGAGAGGTTATTGCAATAATACAGGTGAGAAATGATAATGGTTTTGAACATGGTGATTATTAGTTGGGATAGTAGGAAATGACCAGACTTCTGAAAATAGAAGGGGTACTACATGTCAGATATAGGCTGTGAGAAAAACAGAGGAATAAAGATGATTCCACTGTGATTATTTTAGTAGCAAAATCTTTTCTTCAATTAAGACATTTTTAACAAGTAGGAACAGAATCAAAGTGATTGAAGCAGGAGTGGTGAGCTCAGATTCTTCACCCAAGACACCCTTTTGCCCCTGACGTCACTCTGAAGACCTGTAGAACTTCTCAGAGAACAACTTCAAAATCATTTGCAGTAAGTACACTTTTCTCAATCTGCATATATCTTTTTCTTTTAAGGATACCTGAACTTAGTTTCATACTTTCATTCCAAGTGATACCCAAAAACATAATCTTCTTCAATCTCAAACAGGCATTTCAGGTTATAATCAATCAGTGTAGAACCTTCTACAGCTCCTTTTACCCAGGGATTTGAAAGTGCCAGTAGTGACATCAGTGGAGAGAAGTCATAATATTTGATATCATTGTTTACTATGCCACCATTTGCATCTAAGGCAATGTAAATTATTATAGGGTCATAGGCACCTCTCCATTCATCTAACTGTCCCAAATTAAATTCAGTTCACATATGTATGCCTCTTTCAACTGTTGTGTCTCCTTAAATTGACTGGGACACAGGAAAATACAGCTACATTCTTGTCCCAATCTCGTGCTGGGGGAAACTTGATAGGGCTCCTTCAAACCCTATTTGCCACTTACAGCTAGAGTCATCATCTAATTTATCATCTGAAACTGGGACATGTTGTCTGAGACAAATGCTATTGAAAAGCAGATGTAAATCAGGACTGTCCTGGGCAAATTAGACTGCGTAATTATCCTTTGTCCAACTCTGATAACCATCTATCTTCTCTTGTTCTCATGCCATAATGGCACAGTGAATGCCTGCAAGGCTGCAGTTTTCCTGGTTTTACAGATGAATTTAGAGAGCACAGCTCCTTCAAACTCTCAGATAGCCAGACTTACCGGGCAGTTTTATTATCCCAAATTTGAATGCTAACACTCAGGGGTTGAGGGGTTAGAGCACAGCGCCTCTTCCTTCACTACAGTCTGCTCTCACTTCTTGTCTTTGTCATATCTAAAACTCAACCCAGAATTTTAATCTCTTCCAGTGAGCAACTCATCCAATGACTTACAGTGTTCAGGCTGCCATAACAAATACCACAGATTGGCAGCTTATAAACAACAGAAACTTATTTTTCACAGTTCTGAAGGCTGGGAAGTCCAAAGTCAAAGCAGATTCAGTGTCTAGTGAGAGCCCACTTCCTGGTTTGTAGATGGCGCCTTCTGGTTATAACTTCACATGACAGAGGGGACAAGAGAGCTCTCTGGGGCCTCTTTTAAAAGAACACTATTTCCATTCATTCCATTCACTCTCATGACCTAATCCCCTTCCAAATGCCCCACCTCCAAATACCGTCACATTGAGAGTTAGGACTTAACATATGAGTTTTAGGGAACGCAAACAGTCTGTCGCATCCAGAAAGTATTCTCCCAGATATCTTAATTTTACCTATGGATTGTTACTTAAAAGTCGAGCCTGTACAGTTTCTATTCATTGGTTTGGCACCTGTGACCTTGTGACTCAGACTTCTGTACAGGATTAAAGGGAAGATTGGTGCAGAATAAAAACACATTGATAGTGTATACTATCATTCACTCAACATTGATCAAGTCAAATCACTTTACAGATGACATTTCTTATATCCCAGATCACATAGCTGGATGATAGCAAAGTTGGGACAAGAAACAGTTCTCCTAATGCCTCCTCTATTGACTTAATTCTTTGATGATGCCTTTAAAATCACTGAATTGTCTTGTTGTTTTTCTTATTGTTGCTACCTCCAAACTCCCACCAAATAGTATTGTTTCAAGGTTTTCAATCTCAAGGCTCTATAATATTCACGACAGCTTGAGATAAACTCAAAATGTCTGCTTTCCCTCAGTATATGACAACTTCTTGATTTAATGTGCTATATTTTAAGTTATCTCATTATATTTTAAAGGATACTATAAAATATGCAGTGAAATAATCAATTTGCTTAAGTTAAAAAAGAAAATCTTTATGGGGCAGCCCAGTGGCACAGCGGTTAAGTGTGTGTTCCACTTCAGTGGCCTGGGGTTTGCCACTTCTGATCCTGAGTGTGGACTTGGCACCACTTGGCAAGCCATGCTGTGGTAGGCGTCCCACATATAAAGTAGGGGAAGATGGGCACGGATGTTAGCTCAGGGCTAATCTTCCTCAAAAAAAAAAGAAAAAGTAATAAATCTTCATATAAGTTAATATTATTAGAGAGACTACAATGATTTCAAAATTCTACTCAATTCCAAAAGTTATGGGGGCTTTGTTAGTCACAGGGTATAATAAGATATATCCACCACCTTACCCTGAATTCCAGAAGCTTAAATGTGCAAAAGGTTGACATTTTTTAGATTGATGGCATCTTGAGATAGTTAAAGATTATACCTTTCCACTTGTGAAATGACTGTTAACCCACAGGGAGCAATTAGAAACACGCTATGTCTCAAAGTTACGTGTGGACTCAGACGCTACATCAGAGTTCTCTAAAAGGCTTGTGTGCCCCTTTCCCCAGTGAATAGTTGCCAAATAAACAGCCATAGGTTCTTTTGCAGAGGGAGTAGGGAGATCACTGCTGTTCAATCCATGATTTCTGGGTCTGAGAATTGGCTCACATCCAGCAACTGAGCAAAGGGTCATAACTTCCCATTGCAGGGGTAACCTCCACTTCTGCTCGCCCGCTCTTGATCTTCTGATTATAGATATTAATCAGTAATCTGTTGGCTGCTTATCTATTTTGCTCCAAGAACAGGACGAATTCCTTCACATGTCATCAAAAGCCACAGGCCATCTGAATTTATTGCCAATATTTTTATGTCTCACCATGCTACACAATTAATGTTACTAAATTATGTTCTTCATGTTATTAATTTTTATTCAACATACCACTTGAGTTTTTAACATTGAAAATAATTCTCTTTAATGTAAACAAAAAAAAAAGGTGAACACCTGCTATGTATTAGGCACTGTATTAGGCAGTGTGTCAATTTAGAACTAGAAGCATTGCATTCAATTGCTGTGGCAATTTTGGAGGGCCAGAGACAAATTCTCTCAATCTCAGTTTTCCCAGTCTGTACTATGAAAACAAGAATATTTGCCCTATATTACCATTCTGTTTTGAAATTCAAAATTAAAATTAAATTTTTTTTGAAAAACATTAAAGCCCTATCAAAATACATTTACATGTGCAGACGTTTTTCCAAAGAAGATATACAGATGGAGAACAGGTACATGAAAATACATTCAACATCACTAATTATTAGAGAAATGCAAATCAAAACTATAAAGAGATATCACCTTAAGCCTGCCAGAATGGCTATAATTAACAAGACAAAAAATAACAAATTTTGGAGAGGATGTAGTGAAAAGGGAACCCTCATCCACTGCTGATGGGAATGCAAACTGGTGTAGCCACTATGGAAAACAGTACAGAGATTTCTCATAAAATTAAAAATGGAACTACCATATGATCTGGCTATCCTACTACTGAGTATTTATCCAAAGAACATAAAAGCAGCAATTTGAAGAGATTTATGCACCCCTGTGTTCATTGCAGCATTATTCACAATAGCCAAGACGTGGAAACAACCCA